GGGTACTCAAATGAAAGCTCTCGATGAGTGGAATGTCCAGGTGAGCTTATATCTTCAAAAATGTCAATAGTTCTCAAGATACAAAGTCGTTTCTTAATTATGTTAAATTGCACTGTACTTTCTTAACTATTGACATTTTTGAAGATATAAGCTCATCTCGATGTTATACTCATCAAGAGCTTTCATTTGAGTACCCACATGCATTTTTATATATTTTTCATATATACATATATATATAATATATATAAATATATAAAAAATTGATGTGGGTACTCAAATGAAAGCTCTCGATGAGTGTAACATCGGGATGGACTTATATCTTTAAAGATGTCAATATTTCAGAAGATACAATGCCATTTCTTATTTATGTTTCTAGAGGTAGAGTATTTTCGAATGCAGCCTAAATACTTATAATAAATTGAATATCGGTGAGAATGATATAAAACCTTGAAAAGGCACAAATTAAAGTCAAGACCTTTGCAATGACACTAAAATTTAATAAAAAATCCGATTTTATCATATGACAATCCTGGACACAAAATTTTTCTTATTCTCTTAAAAATAACAATTAATTTTTTAACGATGATCATTTTCTATGATTCCACCCTGAATTCCTCTGGAATTTATATTTTTGTCAATATACGAGTTCCTCAGAATTTCCTTTTGTAATCCTGGAGGAATTCCGCAACTTTTTTACGTAGAAAAGTGGTATTTTAGAGGTAAAAGGGTAAAAAAATTGTTTTTCTAAAAATTATTATCCTCATTTTTTATAAAGAAACCCTATAGACAAATAAAATAGAAGACTAGAAGAAATATACAAGATTAAATCTTAATTTAAAGGAAGTATCAATGTATACGGAAAATAAAAAGTGTTTCAAACCAGAGCTTATGTTAGAGCATTAGGAAACGACGTATTTGCCGAGATAAGAAGATTTAATGAGCTTATTAAATTTAATATTATGGGTGATAAAAATGAAGCACTCAAATAATAATTTAATCTAAGCTTAAAATTCTCTTGTATGGTTATAGTATTTAATAATTTAACTATTTAATTAAATATTTTTTTCAATGAAAAAATTAATATTTGTGCAAGGCATTATTTTTCCTGGAAACATTCGTTATCAATGTATCTTCAATTATTTTTATCGTAATTATATCAGTAAATAAAATATTTCTTCCAGTAATTCATGAGAAAAATAGAAATAATATTTAATTGTAATTATGGAGAGTAATTTTTTGAGGCATAAAAAAACTAATAGCTAATGAAAAAAATCTCGGCGTATAAATGACCATAACGACGGTATAATGTGGCCAGGGCGTAATTTATTATCGCATAACTATATACTGTATGTATATAGTATCCATATCGTCCCACAGCCAGTACTGGTGTTATTTATAGTAACTGCGTGATGTTTCTCTTCATTTCGCCAACAGCGAATGCTTAATTTTTTTGATTTTTATATAAATATTGTATTAAATGCGCTACCTCACATTTTTGTCATTAATTACAATTATTTATATTTTTCTCACCATTTGTTGTGGAAAAAATAACAAAAAAATCCGTTTGGAATTATAATCATCTTACTAATTGATAATGTGATATATTATTATTAAAAAAAATCTGAGACATATTTTTAAACTGATTTGTAAATATTTCTTTATTATGTCAAAACAAAAAAGCTATTATTGAATCAACAAAAATTATTTTTTATCATTAAATAAATTATTTAAAGGAATTGAGGTAAATTGTTATTCAGTGACTAAAATTAAGCAAAAATTTTTAATTTTTAAAACAGAAATTAAACAATTACAGATAATATTCTATCAATATTAAAAATATTATTATTAATTTAATTAAATTAATGAATAAGAATAAATAAATAAATTTTATAAATTAATCATTGTAAATGTTTAATAATATTTATGTTTTCAGAATTTGTTATTATTGTATTTACAGTGTAGTTATTTTAAAATTTTTATTAAATGTTAAGAATATCAATTAAATAAAATTTACGAATCAAAATGAAGAAATACTCGGAATGAAAAAATTAATTTTATTAAACTTAATTGCTAGACTAAAACAATTGATTTCTTAAGCCCATTCAAGGTCATTTTTTCGTCTCGGGTAGATTTTATAAATCGTACACTGTGAATATGACGATAGCAAGCAATTTATTGTTATAGTAATGTGCCATCGCTGTTTTTTACACATTTACTCAATATTCCTCACCTAATTAGCGGTGTTACCGGTAAAGATAATTAGTTCAGTCATTAAGAATCGAAAAAATATCATGAAGCAGAAATCGGTTTGGAGATACGGTAACAGGCGTTGAAAATATATCAGTTGACGATAGTCGTGTTAGAAATGTGGAAGCCAGCAAATCTAATGGAGGCTTTGCTTCCAATATTCATCCCTGATTGTGTATTTTGTCACGGAGTTATGCCATATAGAAGTGTTAAAAAATTAAAAATTAATTATTCTCTTTTGTATTCAGTTATTACATTGATTTTATACGTTTGTTCCTTCATGATCATAGCATCAAAGTTGATGAGTTTGAAAGGTGCAAACAATATATTTTTGATGTCACAATTCGAATTTTGCGTATAATGTATTTTATAATTATGGTTATTATTACTATTGTTGGTTGGATTTTCCGAAACGTAAGTACATTAATTATCTCAATACAATAATACATTAGAACTAATTAATTTAAATAAATGGAATAATTTTATTTTAGACAGCTGCAAATATTAGTAGGGATATTTTAGAAGTCGATGAAAATCTTAAAAGCTTGAGAATTTCGATAAACGTTCAGAGAGAATTTCGCTTCGCTTTAATAGCGGCTTCTTTTTGGGTTATTGTTGTTCTGACTTATTCTTCAATATTTATTTTTTACGATTTTAAACATCTTAAAGGAATAACTTTAATGGTTACTATTCTCGTTGTATATCATGGATATCATGTATGCTGGTCAGCTGAGCTAAAGTTTTTTTTTCTGATCAAACATATGAGATTGCGGCTTAGGAATATCAATAAAGTACTGAAAAATTTTTTAACAATACATAACGAAAATTTGACACAAAAAGAAAATAATGACAGATGGGCAATTCCTATTGGTAGAAATTCCAAGCTCGATTTTCTTCGTAATATCAGGTAAAATCTTATAATAACTTGTATACTATTTATTAATTATATTCATTTCTTTAATAAAAAAAAAACCCTTTCTTTCTATTAGACGAGTACATTTGAAATTGGAATTGTTGTGCCGTAATATAACCACAATTTACGGTATTCCCCTTACTGTTGTGACAACTGGAACTTTTTTTTCCATTACTGGTGCAATGTACCGTCAATATTTATTCTTAATAAACCCACTACTGGATATTTATATGAAAGTTATAACCGTATTTATCTCTTTGTTTATATTATTGCCTCCGTGTCTCGCCTTCTTTGGTATTAATTATATTTGTAAAAAAACCGCCCATGAGGTTATATATATATATATATATATATATATATATATATATATATAGCCGATGAGACTCTTAAAAATTTGGGATTTGCAATAAATATTCAGAAGGAATTTTGTTTCATTTTAAAAGTGGCTGTTTCTTGGATTTTTTTTAATGTGCTTACCTGTCCGGTTGTAACTCTTTACCATTTCTCAAACCTTGAAAAAATAACTCAAATACCCGTTATAGTTGTTGTATACCATGGATATCACGTAAATTTGCTAATCTTTGTAAAATTTTTTCTGCTGATCAACCATATGAGATTGCGGTTTAAAAGTATAAATAAAGTACTGACAAATTTTCTAAGATCACATACCAAAAATATGACGCAAGAAGGAACAAATGATAGATGGGCAAGTTCTGTTCAAAAAAATTTGGAGTTAGATTTTCTTTGTAACGTCGGGTAAGGTCCTACTAAAATAATTATTTTCTTTTGTTTTTTAGAATTTCTTTAATCAAAAATGATATTTCTTTCATTATAGACGCGTACATTTAGAATTGGGAAAACTGTGCCGTATAACAACAACAGTTTACGGTACTCCACTTGCTTTCACAACGATTGGATTCTTTGTTAACATTATTGGTTCATTATACTGCCAATATTTAGGATTGATAAAAGAAAATTCTAATATTTATGAAATAATGCTCTCCATTGTAATAACTCTGATTTGGATAGTACCTTTCTGTTTAAGCTTCCTCAGTGTTAATTATATATGCAAGGAGACCGTAAATGAGGTAAAATATTATCTATCTATGTAACATTTATCACGAAAAGAATAATGATAGCACTTATGTTTCATTCCAGTGGAAGCAAACTGGAGTAATACTTGATAAATTGGAGCTCGAGTCCAAAAATACTGAAATCCAGACAGAAATAGGCAACTTTTCGGCTCAAGTACAAAGAAACACTTTAAAGTTTTCACCATGTGGATTTTTCGATCTCGACTTTTACTTCGTTAGAGATGTAAGTTTAATATTAAGTTATATTTTTTCTAATTTTAAAAGCAATTATTCCTAATAGTAATAATAAAATATTCTTTTTCAGTTTACTGCAGCGGTGGCTACGTACTTAGTTATAATGCTCCAAACCCTCTCAAGTGAAAACTAAAGACCCACAAAAACCGTCAAAATAGGCAATCTCTTTACACGTTTTTTCAGTGAACTAAATGTAATTAATCATTAATTAAACAATAATTAGTATTTCCCTTGTTTTTTCTAAAATAATATTAATTTAAATTCAATACACATTTTTTATCAATACATCGCTTTAAGGTATTTGTCTTTAAATAATCACTGTTTGTCACGTATTATCAAAAGAATTATTTTTAATAATTTGAAATATTTGTAAGCGAAATAAATATAAAAAATAATTATCATTAATAACTAAACAATGTTTTTTTTTATTTATTATTAAAAATATTCACACTATAATTTTTTTTATAATAATAATTCAAACTTCTTTCACTTAATATAACCATTTAATATCAATTAAAATAAAAAATTACTTCAAATTTAAGCGCAACTTATTTTCTCGTAGTTAAATTTTATTTTTTCTTTTGTTTTTGAATAAAACTATATAAATTTTCCGGGTAGCACTATTTTTTTTCTTCAAATATTTGATCGACCCTCTAAAAAATACTTCAAAGAAAATATATCATCAAAGACAATTTTTTTCTTTTTATCTCTCATGTTAAAATATTTACTTACTCTTTTAAATTTTTACAAAAGCCGCTCTTAGTATAAAAATATAATTTATAATTTTCTAAACGCTTAAATTTTCATTTCATTAATACTTACGCTGTTACACAAAATTTACCTAGGTATATTTTTTAAAAAATAAAACTTAGCTACTTTAATTGCAATTACTGTAACTTTGTACAAAAAAAAAAAAAAAAAATTAAGATACCAAAAGTTTGATGTGGCAATAAAAAATTATTAATCTAATCTTTATAAAAAGTTTATTTAATATCTGTCTGGTAGTATATAGTATAGTTATCTAAGCTCTATCCAGTAACAATAAAAAACAAAATTTTCTTACCGCAAAGTCGCTATAAAATATCTATATAATTTGTACTCAAAAGTATCTCAGTAGGAACTTATCTCGTTACAAGGCCCTACTGAGTCTTGTTGAAAAGTTTGGCAAATTCAACTCGACAAGTAAAGGCTTTACAAGTAAATTGCTTTCAACAAGACAATATATTTTATCCTCAAATTGCCACTTCAAAGGAAACTTTTTATTGAGATACCTTATTGTGATCTCAGCCTTATATCCTCGCTCATTGTCAGAAACAATGGATAGAATAATAACAAGATAGATAAATATATTTATTGTTCACAGAGAAGTTTAAATATTTGTAAGAGGAAAAAGAATGCTCAATAGCAGATACTAGATATTAGATACTGGATATATGGTACACGTTACACGGAAATTTATATAAGACTTTTGATTGGCTCTGTCTTTCCTGGAGCTTTAGTTCTGCAGCCACCGGCTTAGCTGTGAATTCGATGTCTGATGAGATGACCACAGCAATTTCCGGAGTAGAGAAATCTTATTGCTTTGACCATTCGCTTATGTCAGGGTTTCTCAGCATTTACCACTCACTGGACCACTTGCTGACTGGGGAATTGAGTTTAACTTCTTCTATAAACTATTTTCTACTTATATCAATCACATACATATATATATATTTTCTGAATAATTCTTTCAGGAGTCATGCGCACTTAAAAGGCCTAAAGAAGATATTTTTAATAATCAAAAATTGAATATACATTCAATAGTTAAATCTTTAAAAGACTAAAATAATTTTGAAGAGTTTCATTGTTTTGAATCAAGACAAAAAATTATTATATCAAATAAAATTTATTTAAATCTAGAAAAATTTCTTAGATCAAAACATTTTTTTTACTTAAACTAAAACGATAAAGCTCTTTAAAATTATTTTCTTGATTGAAAAAAATTTTTTTTTCCAGTGTAAATTTTTTTTGCAATTAATAATTTTTTTAGACCCTGTAGCATGATATTTTCAATTTGAATTATTAAAATTTAAAAAATTACATTAATATAAAACAAAATAGTGGCTAGACAAAAAAAAATTCCAATTTTCTATGAAAATTTTAGCTTTAATACTGTTTACAAAAATGTGAAATATTATTAAATTTTAAATCAATTTCTTGAAAAATAAAGTTAACAAAATTTTGCAAAAATTAAAGTTGACTTAGCAAGTATAACTTTAAAAATTCTTGTTCGATCAACATGAAAATTTCTGTGAACATACATAAAGACGTTATATAATTGTCATTACATTACTGTTCAAATTACTAATTATTTATGTTTAAACTTATATTTTTTCATCTCTTTTGTTTTATGATTTAGAGTCATTAAATTAATTACTTTGATGGACTTTGCTTTGAGACAACGTTATTTATTTTTACTTCATTATTATCATTTCCATTACTGTTTATAACTTTTATTATTATTATGTATTAATTTATATGTAAGGCCCTTAGGAAGCTAAGGCTTTAGGGTCTAAAAATTTTGATAAATAAAATAAAATAAATATATACATTACAAAAATAAAATTAAACAAAACTTGATTATTTAAAAATTTAAATTTTGCAAATTTTTTATTACTATTCTACAGAAGACTATAGACAACAAAAATGACTCTTGACATCAATAAAAAATAATTAATGATTACTTGACTAAATAATTAAAGTACAATTTAGCTTGAAGATTTCTCAGCAAAAATTTCTGGACGAGACTCGCCTCGTAGAGGTCCCAAGGATTAGCCACTGCCTGATGAACTGCAGCTTCGCGCTTCGTCAGAAGGACCGAATTCCACGGGGACCATTCAACCTCCCTGCGAAAACGCAGCAGCCGTAATTGAAAAAGATCATCGAATTCGGAGATTCCGGATTTCCCGTGCCAGATGTAATTGACAAGCTGATGAAGCACCCGAGGGTCAATGTGAAAAGCCAGGCCGTCGAATAAGCCCATCTGAGCTTCGGATTTACGCAAATCCTTCAGCATCTGCTCGTACGGCTCGTAAAGTATCTTTGGGTTTTTGCTCGGGCGCATTGATATACAACTGCTGCACGTCGGGACACTTGGTTCGTCTTCACTCGATTCGGTTATTGGTAATAATTTACCGCAACTGAAAATTTTATGTAATCTTTAATTTAAATGAATTCAAAAAAAATTTTTTTGGTATTTTTAATGAAAAAATATTAATTTGCTTCTCTACAGATTTTTTGTTATTACAAATATCTCTTAACTGGGCCGTATTACCCGTAAGTAATTTACAGGGGTGCAGAGATTTTATTAAAAGATTTTCTATTTTCCTTTTAAAATGTAATTAATAATTGTAATTACTTCAATTATCTTTTTTTTAACTTATACTTCAATTTACCTTATTTTAATTATCAAAATTTATAATTTCTTAAATAATGCATTAATTAATCACCTTAAACTATCGATTGAATAAAAAAAGATTAATTACGTAAAATCTCTTAATTAAATCATTAAAAAAAAATAATTAATTAAAATCATTTTTTAACTTATTAAGTATGCAATAATTAATGAATTAAAATTGAGAGACGTCTGAAAATTTTTATAAATTTTTTAGCTAATAAATGATAGCAAGAAAAATTTATTTAAAAAATTCCATCCTTAGAAATTTTAAAAAATTATGAACAAAATTTTTTTTTAATAATTTTCTAGACCTAGTTTATTACAGTAGAACCTCTATAACTATTAAACTCCAAGGGAGAGGCAAAAAAATTCGAGTTAAAGAGGATTTCGACTTAGGCGGATTTTGATTCGACATAAAGAGGCTGAGATTCATTTTTATAAATTTTGAGGTAGAGGGGTAAAATAAATAAAAATTCAAGTTTTAAATTTTAAATTCGTATCAACGTGAGTCATTAATTTGGGTAATTCTATTCATTGTCTACTCCTAAGAAACAATGGTGCAATGATAAAAAAATTAACTTGACTCAAGAGCCTTAATCTTGATGTAAGTAAATTATTCTTTTCATAAGAATTTATTCTCTTGACTCAAGAAAATCATTTTCGTTAAAATTTTATTCTTGGTTCAAGATTTTGGCTCTTGAGTCAAATTAATTTTTTTATCAGTGTGTACTTGCACTGTCGGCAAATTCTTGAAGGTGTTAAAAGTCTCAAACAATCAAGTTGTAGATGTTATAAAATAAAACATTGCTATGTTCGAGATACAGAGGTAAAATATAATTTTTCGAGTTATGGAGGGAAAATATGTACATAAATAGCTTGTAGGGACTCACTAATTATTTCGACTTATAGAGGTTAAGAATTTCGAGTAACGGAGGTTTTGGGGCTTGGAGGGAAGGGGATGAAACATTTCTTCGAGTTGAGGAGGTTCTACTGTATTATGAAACTTCTAATCATTTAAAAAAATTTTTTAATAAATAAATTATAACAAGAAAAATTTATTTGAAAAATTTCATCTTTAAAAACTTTTAAAAATTATAAATAAAATTTTTTTTAAATAATTTTCTAGACCTAGTTTATTATTATGAAACCTCTGATAATTAAAAAAAATTTTTTAATAAATAAATTATAACAAGAAAAATTTATTTAAAAAATTTCATCTTTAGAAACTTTTAAAAATTGTAAGTACAATTTTTTAAAAATAATTTTCTGGACTTTATTTTTATGAGACATCTGGTAGTTTTTGTCCGGCAATTTCAGTATGATAATAATTAATAAAATCAAAAATAAATCATCGAAAAAATAAATTTTTTGTAACCGTGGTATCTTGAAAAAAATTTTAAAATATCACAAAAAATTATGCAAATTTTTAATAAAAAACTTACCGACGGCAAAAAGTCATAATATCTCTGTTGTGATATTCATAATAGCTTTCCTCTTGGCAATAGAGCGTGGTAAACTTTAAAAAGGCCAATTTGATCCGATTTTTCAATTGACTCATCACAGAATAATCAAAATTTCTTCTGGTAAATTCAATCTCTTGATCCACGAGATACTCTAGCTCTCTGGCAGGTTGACAGGTATGTCCGTAAATGAGCTTCTTGATGTTTTCCAGCGTATCAATTCTTCCAGCAGCAACACTATTACCAACACTGGTTCCAGTACTATCACCAGCAGCAGAACCGAATCCAGTAGTGTCATCAACTTGCATCAATGTTAAGTACAAGGATCTGCACTTTCGTGCCCGTGCCACTCTCTGGGTTTCCACCTTTATCAATTTTCCATCTCGAGTCCTCCATACGTTATCATGAAGAATAACTGGCACATAGTATACATTCGTCTTCTACCTAAATAACCTACATTCTATTCTACTCTATTACTACAGAATACATAAAAAAAAAAAAAAAAAAGTATTCTTTACCTCCAGCACTCGAGCATAGCCAATTTATCCAGGAACTCAAGATTTCGTCGTTCTTTCAACTCCTCACGAACTTTAGACTTGGATAACTCGATAGAACGCAGCAGCTCTATCTCTTTCAGGAGGATCAGGGACTTAGCAGCCATCAGGGAATTTCCGAAGAGCACACAATCAACCTGCTCGCTCTCCAGTACTCTCCATCGGTCCAACATGTTATGTAACATCTCAAAATCAGAGCGAGTACGTGGCGTTCGCCGCTCGACTATCTCAAACCGCTTATCTTCGTTCAATCTCACTAACTTATCTTTTACAGGAGGCTGCGTTCGAGTCAGAATCGCGAAACGTGCGAGAGATGATATCTCTATTCGTGTTCGACATGCTCTGCGAAATTTCAGTTGTGATTCAGTCCTTGTCGGGTTAAATGTTTTCAAAAACTATTCAACAAATTATCTCTATTCTACGTATGAACGCTTGAGAGTTTGTAACTGGGATTTCTGCAGGAATTAAGGCTATATTTACGTTAACTGGTGTGAATATTAATTTGTTATTTCAAAAATTATGTAATTGATGTATATTGATATGAAATTTGACTAAATTTAAGAAAAAATATTTTTGGAAATTTTATTGTATTGAATTTTTTACAGTTATAAGCTCATCCCGATATTAGACTCATCGACACGTTTTTTGAACATTGTGCTGTTTTTTGAATTATTTGCTATCACAAACATTTTAACAAATCTCAACTCCGTAATTCTCTTGTGCATTTTTGGGCTTAATGCCTTTTTAGCCCGTTTTAATTATTTTACGCTTTCAGTTTTAAGATTTATTTATTTTAAGGTGTTCTGTGATAAGTGAGGTTAGGTTTACCACGTGCTCATGCCTCAACAGTGTTTTCTACCTCCAATTTTAATTCACCAGAACAAAAATTTTAAGTTCTGATGATCGCAATTTTAAATGTCAGTACTGCTACAATTAATTATATTAATCAACTGACCAAATTTACATTTGTCAAAGCTAACCTATTGTGCGGCCGAGTCAGCATCGCGCTTGCAGCGTTGTCAGTGTTATACTATAAGCAGTGTTACCAGGGTAAGCGATGACATTAATTCAGTAATAGACACTAACAACACGCTGCAGTCTGTGCCTTTGCACCTGGAAAACCTCTCAACTTGCAGCGATCAAACCCCGAAAACGCCGACACCTATCTTTAAAAATATCAATATTTAAAAAAATACAGTGCATTTTAACATAATTAAGAAACGACATACCTTCTAAAATATTGACATTTTTAAAGATATAAGCTCACCCCGATGTTTCACTCATCAAGACCTTCCATTTGAGTACCCAGATCAATTTTTCATATATTTTATATATTCATATATATGTATATATGAAAAATATATCAAAATGCATGTGGGTGCTCAAATGAAAGCTCTTGGTGCGTGTAACATCGGGATGAGCTTATATCTTTAAAAACCTCAATAGTTAAGAAAGTACAATTCAATTTAACATAATTAAGAAACGACGTATCTTCTAAAATATTGACATTTTTAAAGATATAAGCTCATCCCGATGTTATACTCATCGAGACCTTTTATTTGAGTACCCACATCAATTTTTCATATATTTTATATATTTATATATATGTATATATGAAAAATATATCAAAATGCATGTGGGTACCCAAATGAAAGCTCTCGATTAGTGTAATGTCGGGGTGAGCTTATATCTTTAAAAATGTCAATAGTTAAAGAAGTACATTGCAATTTAACAAAAATCATTATTTAATAAAGCAAAATTTTATTTATTCATTATTTACAAGTCACGGCAGTCACATAGTGACTGCAAGGTCTTTTTTTAATTAACGAAATTTTTCAGAATGAAAGTACAAATCATATTACCGGAAAAATTTTTGAATTTTTACTGCACTCTCCTCTTCCAACCTGAAATGATTTATTTAAACTTAATAATTGAACTTAAAAAAAAATTAATAAATCAATAGTCGTTAATTACTTGGAAAATTTACGAGTTGAAAATAATTCTTTGGCTCTAAGACGATGAAGTTCAGTGGTCAATCGATTACGCGCAGCAGAAGAAGGCGTCAAAAGTTTGTCACTTAAATCCGGGAGAATAGAAGTTTGAATAGTTTTGTCGTAAAATGCAGAAGTGTATTTACAAGCAGTGAAACTTGGAGTCTGCGTAACGCGGTTCACGGTCAGGATATTTCTGAAACTACTGCGGTGGCGAGTTGACGCTTGAGTAGCCGCATCCAAGTATTCTTTTCCTGTTATTATATTTTTCCATTTGCCCAATTTTTTATTTTCTTCATTATTTACTTCTTGTACGAGCACCATCTGTAATATCCAGTTCAATAACTTTCTAAATTTAATATAAAACATTTAAAATGATTATTTTCGAAAAAAATTTTTTGTGAAGAAAACCGCAAAAATATAACTAGAAAAAAGAAAAAAAAATAATCTAGAAGTTAAATAATTATTTATATTATTTATTTTACAAATTAATTGGATAGTTCTTTTTCTGATAATTATTTGTAATTTTCTATTTCTTTCTCTAAAAATTTATTACTTTTTCTACTTATTACCTCTTTGAATTGTATTATCGACATAAATTTTGTAAAAAAATCTATTTATTATAAAACAGTTATTTTTGTGCTTGTTTTATACACAAGTATTTTTACACCTCGATAGAATTCCTTATACCAGATAAATAAATAAAATAAAATAATAGTTAGAAAAAACTATGAAACAATACGATGATAATAATTGCTTAAACAACTTTTAGCTTGTAAATAAATAAATTAAAAAAATTGTTAAAATAACTAGGATAATATTTAAATAAAGTAAACCCAGTTTCAACCAATATCTAGTCGACTCTAGTATAAATAATATATATATAAGTACGTTTACAAGTTATACCGGTGGTATAATAATTTTTTTATTTTTATTTTTATTCCACTCGGTATTCTTACTGCTAAAGTTTTAAAATATACGTAACCACTATCATCTCATCATAATTATACACTGGAATTTTCTACTTTTCACTGCTGTAGATACTTTTTAACATTAGCTCCAGTAGTGGTAGATGTAAAAGTATAAGTATAGTTGAAGTGTATAGCAGGTAATAGAACCGTAGGAGTAAAAGCAAGGATGTATCGTGGCTTTTATAAATCAAAATTTCACGAGATTGTATGTGCTTACATACCCTCTAAGTTTTTTTAGCTTTAAATATGTTAAGAGACTCGGATATATATCACCGTCCTAATACTGTCCCAATTTGCCTTCCACTAAAGAGAATAAATTTACTACAATATAAAACGGTGGGCAAAAAACTTTACCTATATCTATAACAAAAAATTTCGGGAAATAAATTTGGTTGATAAATCTACCAGAGTTATTTACCGCGGCTATTTTACTTGCTAGAGTTATTACTTTTATTGATGATAAATAAATTTTTAATTGCTCAATGAACCCATTATTGGTCAACAGCCGCTCGGTTATTAATTATAATTATTTGCATGTTATTACATACCCAATAATATATTTATTTTATTGGTATTCAACAGACTGAAATATTTATATTCAATTGAACGTATGATGATCAATAACTTTATAAATTTACGAATACGCATACCTGTGATATGTAATGCGTGTATATAATAATAGTATAATAATCAGATTATTTATGTCATTAATCATGAGCATGGTAAATTTATTACTAATTAAATTAAATCAATTAATTGGTATTACGTATTGCTGCTTATATCATATGCACATACATACATGTTATCGGGACACTTTGTCTATCTATATACGACCTACAATGACCTTTTCGATTTAAACTTTTTAGGTGCCATAAAATAATTAAATCGCTATTTTGTACTTTGCATCAAACTTTTTACGGGTGTATTTTTTTTTTTAAGTAAAATAAATTATTTAGTCGAAGTGCAGTGAACGCGAGCGATCAATATCAGACGTCTGATACATTTAGACTTGTACTACTTAATATGTAATTTTATTTTTTTATGATAAGAAACTTGTAATTTTATTTTTTTTTTTAATTATTTAAATTAAATTTAATATTTAGAAAAATACGGTGAAGAAATAAATTATATTGGACTTGAAGAAAAAAAAAATAAATTAAAAAATTTAGAAAATTCAAATTTGTATTCCTTAAATTAAGCGCTCGTGTTATTTGTAAATTTTTTAAAGTAGATAAAATATTAATTACAGAAAGAAAAAATTTGATTGAAAGTAAAAGTATAATTCAACTCTTCATTTGAATTTTTCCGCGTAAATCGGTAAAAAAAAATAATTCGAAACTACATTACCGACATTTAGTATTATGCTATAGTATAGATTAGTTTGTATAGTTTAAGCCGCCTTCAAGTTGCATTTAGAAAAAAAATGGCTGCTAATAGACAACATAATCTCTCCACAGAGACCAACCAAAAAAATTTATTGTAATTAGACGAAAAGTATTGAAAGTTTAATCACTGTAGCAAATATACTTATAGATATTTCTATTGTTATCCGATTTAATTTGTTAATGCGTTACTCATAAGTACCAATCCGAACAAAAACAGTTTCACTGTAAAAAAAATCGCGCCAAGTCCACGTTCATAAGACTATTAAGAAAAAAAAATTAGTTTTTTTCTTTACAAAAAGATATAAAATAAAAAAATTAAAAAACCCAAGTAACCGATATGATTGTTTATGAATTTCGGATATTAAAAAGAATTTTGCTGTAAATTTAAAAATTAAAAAAACAATTTTGAAACGTATTTTTTTTTTTTATTTTTAAATTTACAACAAAATTTTTTTTGGTGGACTTGGCGCGATTTTTTTACAGTGAAACTGTTTTTGTTCGGATTTTAGTATTTTTTGTAATTTTAATAAAAATTTACAATCGGTACCAACTTAAATCTCGCGTTGGCTGCATTTTTTATAGCAAACTATTCCCTTGAAGCTACAGTTTATGTAAAAATAATTCCAGCGCACCCTGGCGGGTGTAGATGCAAGCTGTGAAATATCTTTTTTTAACTGTAGTTTCCCATCTAATGAAGGATTACTATGCATTCTCGAATTATTTAGTCTGTGGCAGATCACTTTGCCCATCGAAAAAAAGTCAGGATCGAAATTTTTGCGTTGCTATCGTTTGTGCTGATTAAATTTAGTAATTTCAAGTAGATTAATTGTTATAAGTGAATATAATTATTAATTAATAACAGTAAAATAAAGTATGAATTACTGTTATAATATACAATTTGAGAAAAAAAAAGTACCGTAGTATTAAATAAAATTTTGCAACCTCAAAATACCGTTCTGCTTACAGTAAACACAGTCGGTAGTCTGGCGCTCCGTTGACAACGGATTTGAACGGAACTTGGCGCCAGATTCTACCGAATCTGTGGATAGGGGTTATTGTATTACTGCCTACTTGTAAGAAGTCAGAGTCTTTGTTGAGCTATTAAGTTGTTAACACGTATAATATTTTCTCCTTAATAAATTGTATTTGAAACTATTTGCCAATTATTTACACGTTTATTTATATTATTATTATTCCTATAAATAATTATGTAAAACTAGTAATTAAAAAATTTTTTAAATGACCAGTGATTATTTATGTACTTTTTGTAGCATTTATATGCATATTATGTCTGTCAAATACAAATTATTGCGACAAAACACGGGATTTTTAGGCAAAAAAAAAAATTTTTTTTCCTACTTATTAAAGTACGTAATTATGAAAAACTTTTTTAAAAAACAAAAGAAAAAAAAACTGGCCCATGGGGGGATCGAACCCGCGACCTTCGCGTTATTAGCACGACGCTCTAACCATCTGAGCTAATGGGCCCTGAGAAATCGAAATTTATTTTTCTTATTTAATTCTAAGATACCAGAGAATACATGAAGTTTCAATATTTTATAAAAAAATATTATTTTCTAGATTTTATAGAACTTTAACTATTAAATTTGTCCTTATGATGTAACTTTTGAAAAATTTTACTATTTTCTAATTTAACTTGTCGGGCATGTTAAAAAAATACCATTAGTTTAAAAGTTTATAAATGTATTATGTATTTAAAAAAAACTAAATCAAATAATGGATATTTTTAAAATAAATAAAATATTTAAAAAATGAATATGCTAATGAATTAATACTTAATTATAATTGAAATGACAAAGTGTAATGTAATTAGATAATCCCAAGACTAAAATAAAATAAAACCTGACTAGAGATAAATCTTTAATATCGTAACGAAAATAGGTCACAAGAATTACCTCAGAACAACGAATCCCGGGTAGTAAAGTGAAGAAACTCAGTGGTGAAACAATGATTATTATGAGCGAAACAACGAATAAGATAACCAGCTTGTAAATTAGCTCCAAAAACTGATTAAAATCTGACACTGGTAAACGCTTAATTCCATAAGAGCTTTCTGGTATTACTATTTCTGTTTATGTTACAGACTCGTACAAAGTCCAGAGATTACTGTGTGGTTTTCTCAGAAATTAGCTCTGAACATTTCAATTGTATCGGTAGCTGCATGGGAATTCTTGTTGCCGTCGAGATTGTTTGGTCGATCATTTTATGCGCGAGTCGTATCAGTAGAAAGTTATGTTTATTGTAAATACCAATGATATACTTTTTAACTACTATATATTATTGTTATTAATACAATATTTTATTATTAGCAGACTGATTCAACATCAGGTTTAGCAGCCTCAGATTTTTCGCAGCCGATTTCCAGCGAAATTTTCAATTTTCTTTCCAGCTTCATTAGATTTCTATGAAAAAGGAATAAAATAATTATTTTTTTAATCATAAAATAAATTAACCTGATTTATTATTTTTTTTTTTTAAACTTTACTAGAATTGAATTTACGCGCGCAAGCGCGCGCCTTGACTATAGAGTTTGCATATATTTTCATGCTTATGATATATTCGACCAATCACGTTACGAATAGTTTGATGCCACATATATTTCATCTTAATTTTATATTAGGACTAGAATTTAATTTTCGCGCACAAGCGCGCGCCTCATATTTATTGTCATGATATATTTATGTGTCGTTTATGTATATTATATTCACTTTCAACCAATCAGAATGAGAATAAATATTTTCAACCAATCACATCACGAATAGATTGGCTTCACATACATTTCATCTCAATTTTATATTAGGAAATATGGGATTAAAGGCTTGTTTACACTAACGATAGCCTTACAATCAGCATGACGCGAAATTTGAAATTTCCTACTACGCTGACTATTGCATTAGAAGATATAAATACATATATTGACATAATGCATAGTAGTGTATTTAGTTGACGTTTGAATAAGGTCCGTTGAACAATAGACGCATCATCAAATATATTTCTGTTAGTCTAAAGATTTTTAAGTAAAGATGGGTCGTATTGTCGTGTTTACCACAATGTCAATTTTAACACAACATATCAAAAAAATTATGCCAAAACTAGATTTAATTTATATTAATCCAGGTAAAATGTATCATATGAGTTTATCATAAATATAATATAAAAATTGATTTTATAAGGATTAGAATTTAAATTTACGCGCGCAAGCGCGCGCCTTGACTATGGAGTTTGCATATATTTTCATGCTTATGATATATTCAACCAATCACGTTACGAATAGTTTGATGCCACATACATTTCATCTCAATTTTATATTAGGATTAGAATGTAAATTTACGCGCGCAAGCGCGCGCCTTGACTATGGAGTTTGCATATATTTTCATGCTTATGATATATTTGACCAATCACGTTACGAATAGTTTGATGCCACATACATTTCATCTCAATTTTATATTAGGATACAGAAAAAACTAAATAGTAAAATTTGATACTGAAATTGAGGGACATCTGATCGTTTTTAGAAATTTTTTAACTAATAAAAATTATAGCAAGAGAAAATTATTTAAAAAATTCCATCTTAAGAGACTCTAAAAATTTATAAAAACAATTTCAAATGTCATTAAAATTTACTTTTTAGTGCTTCAAATGGTAAATCAGACTTTGAAATGGCATAACATTAATGTAAAAAAATATAAAAGCCAACATTTATAATTTAATATTGAAAAAAGTGATTTGTAAGAATAACTATCGTAAATAACGACTCTTACTACTCTTTAAAAATGATCGTTTCAAACAGTAAAGAGTGCCAAGTCAATAATTATAGTTTTGTTTTTATCGTTGCGCTTAAAATTTATTATTTTATCTTTTAAATTTTGACTCTGGCTGCATTAAAATGTTATGAATTCTTACCATAAAAATTTATTAATCTTTTTCGATATTTTTTTTACATATTACACGATAATCTTTCACGTGCAAAATGAGAAATATTTAAGTTAAAATTCTTAATTAATTTTTTCGACATTTACATAGCTTTTGTTACTGTTTTAAATGCTGTTTTTTTTTAAAATAATTATTGAATAATAAATATTATAAATTATTTTTGCAATTAAGTAATATTTCAATTTTTATAATAATTTAATTATCATGAAAAAAAAAATTCTATGTGTATAAATTAAAAGCGCAAATTTTAAAAAATATTTTTTCTATAATAATTGATAAGTTAGAAAAATTTTTAAAATTGTCAGAAGTTAAAATCATGATTTTACTGTTTAAAATATTATTTATATAAATTTATTATAAATAAATTTTTATTTATGATCTTTAAGTTTTTTCCGTGTAAAAAGTCAAAATAGTTTGAGCGATGGGTAATTAAATAATTATTTATTTAAATAAAAACTGAAACTTATAATCTGAGTTATAAAGCAGGCAAGTAGATAAATATTGGAATAAAGGAGAAAAGTTTGGATAAAACTTACTGAAAATGACTCCTGGCAGTCTGGTGAATTAAATAAATTTTATAAAGCAATTGCTTTGAGTACACGGAACAGAGATCTGTGATATAATAATGAGCTTTGCTCTCTTCCTCGGTTAGCAGAATACAATTCCAAGGAGCCCATTCCCGATCTACGTGGAACCTGACAAGCCTCAAGCGATAAATGTCATCGACCTCGCTGACTATTGAGCGTCCGTGCCATATATTTTTAACCAAATGATACATTTCTGGCTCTTGAATAACATACAGGAGCGTTGAGACACACTTTTTACTGAGCTCATCCGCGCGTATGTCATTTAATAGATAGCTGTAAGGGTCGTAGTCTATTTTTTTGACGGTCTGTTGATAGAGCCACGTGCAACTGATGCATTTAGATAATTTTTTAGCTTCTAAGTCAACTGTTACTTTTTTTCGGGGCATTAATTTCATACAACTACGACACAGTAACTTGTTCTTGTCCTTGTCCACCGGCCCGACTAATTCCTCTTCGTCTTTACTCTTCGAGCAGCAATTATGAGAATGTCGGGCGAAGGATAAAAATCCAACTGAAAGTTCATTTTTATTTTATTAATTAGGAGTATCATTAGTTGGACGCCAAGGAGATGAATTTTAGTTTAATTTTACTGTCGCTGTTACACTGATAGAAGGATTTGTTTGTATTTAATAAATCAATTTATTAAAATCTTTTTCAGATATTTTTTTGGGTGGAAAAAATATTTTTTTACTATTAACAATATTCGTTAGTATTAACTAAATCAATTTTTTATGAGAACAAAATTTTTGTAACTATTAAGAAGCTTTTGTGTATTGAAAAAAGTATTTATTTCCACCAAATAAGATTTGTTAATAGTTAACAAATATTTTGTTGGTGGTCGGTGTTGGTAGATGGCTCTACTTAACG